TGTGTGTATGGAAGTGTGTGTGTGTGTGTGTGTCTGTGGGAGTGTGTGCGTGTCCGTGGGGGGGGTGTGCACGTGGGAGTGTGTGCGCGTGCGTGGGAAGGCCCACCCCCGTGCAGATGAAGACGCACGTCCACCTTGTGAGGCCCGGAGGCCTCCCTTGGACGAGCAGGCTCGCAGGTCCCGTAAACGGGTTGACCGCGTTGGGTACGTTGTGTGTGCTTTGCACTGTGTTCTGACGACAGGGGAGGCCAGAGAAGGAGACTCATTAGGCAGAGAAAATGCATTTCCAAGACTATGTGGCATTTCCGAAAAGCATCCGCCTCGCAGCGGACGCGTGTTGTTCCGGGGTCGGCTGTGTAGACCGACGGGCCCGTGAGAAGGGTTGAGGGGCTGGGGCGGGCGGATTTCCGCAAGTTTATTAAGCAACATAAGCGCCCCCCCCCCCGAAGCGCTCAGCCTGTCGTAAGCAGCTCAGGGGACGTTCTGCTGGCTTCTGGGCGCAGAATCACAGCCCCGAGGGTCCTGGGGTCACCACCATTTGCAGTGTCCTGAGGTCCCTTTGGGTCCCCTACCCCGCAGACTGTGCCCACGTTGTGGCGTTGTGACGTTGCCGCGGTGCGCCAGACGCAGGGCTCAGCCCTCAAGTGTCTTGTCTGCGTTCCCAGCTTCTCTTTGCACTTTGCTGTCCCCCTACGCGGTGACCGTTGCCCAGGAACGCTGCCACCCCCCCGCCCCCGCTGGAAACTCGCGTCTGTGGGGGCCCCAAGAATCCCGTGCCCTGTGCTCCCAAAGCTGACGCGTCCTGGCCTTCCCTCTCCCGGCAGACCCCAGATGAGGGAGCCTGGACCTCCGTCTACGCAGCAGTCACCCCGGACCTGGAAGGAATCGGCGGCCGCTACCTTTACAACGAGAAAGAGACCAAGTCTCTGACGGTCACGTACGACCGAGATCTCCAGAGACAACTGTGGGCCACAAGTTGCCAGATGACCAGCATCCCTGACGTGACCCAAGACACCCTCTTGGGGTAACGGCCACATTGGGAAGACCTCGCCTCGGCCCGGCAAACGCAGGTCTGTGACCGATCCCCGTGTCTGCCTTTTCCACAGCTGTTGCCTTCAGGGCTCTGTCCCCAACGGTCTCCTGTCTGCTGTCCTGCCTTTGCGGGAAATCAGGGAACAAAAGAAATATTGAGTGTGGCCTCCAAGTGGCCGTGAGCCATAAATTGTGTGGCAAGTTTCTCCCAAGTGCCAGGAACCATTAAATGCTGCCTAAGCCAAGTGTTCCATGTTTCTTGAGTAACACACGGCACGGAGTAGTTTTGAGGACACATGTTCCAAGTGACACAGGCACTTTGACACGAGCATGAAGCGTTGGGTCTCCAGAGGTTTCTGGGTCCCGTGAGTCCTTTGTTCTCCCACGCACCCACTATTCTGGACACTCAGCTTGGACTCCTGGGTCCCCAAGACAGAGAGACATGAGCCTTCCTCAGTCTGTTGGGTCCAGGTTGAGGTGGAAACCCATGGTCTACTCCACACTTTGACAATGACCCGGCCCCGGGTGCCACCTTCAGCCCGTAGGTCTGCTGACATGAGCTCAAGCCCATCGTCATGTGGATATGACCAGTGCCAGTCAGGGATTCCGTAGAACAGGTGGGCGGACAGGGTCCTGGACGGCACTCCCCATAGAGATCTGTAGGATGGGGAGGAAGAGAGGGGTCTGGACAGCTCTTGCCATGGGTTGTGTCCCCATGGGTTGTGTCCCTAACAGAATGTCTGTTAATGTTTCCATTGGCACCCTTCCTAGAGACATCTGCAGGACCCGGTTTATACTTAGTCCAGGAAACTAGACGAGGCATAATATGTGATGCCCAGTCGTGGGTGGTGACCACAGTTCATCAGAGCCCAGCTGAGCCAGACATTTCCTTCTGGTTCCTTGCGTATCCGTAGGCACAGGCAGCTTGTCCACCAGGGACATGAGGGGTGGCACACGCAGTGGAAGTCAGGCAGACCTGGAAGGTCGTTGGGGTTGTGTCCAGTCGGTCTCTCTAGGAGGTGCAGTACGATCCGGTTCAAAAGATACCTGCACGTGCTACCCTCCCAGAACCTGTGAATGTGATGCTACTTGGAAAGATAATCTTTGGGAGGGAATTAGGACAAGCGGATCATCTTGGGTTCTCGACGCAGACCCAATGTGATCCCAAGTTTCCTCTTCTGAAATAAGTACAGACAGATTTCATGACAAACGAGGAAGAGGTCATGTGACGATGGGGGCAGAGATTGGAGAGACGCAGCCACACACAGGGACTCCTGGAGCCCCCAGAAGGTGGAAGAGGCCAGAAGGATCTTCCCCGGGAGCCTCTGGAGGGAACGTGACCCTGCCCCGCCTGGCTCTCAAGAGCCCTACCCCGCCTGGGTCTCCAGAGCTGGGGGAAGGTGAACTCCTATGCTTCTAAGCCACCAACCAATTGATAGGAATTTGGAACCTGATAGAATCTGACGGAAATTGATAGGACCTCATACAGTTCCCGACGCTTCCGAATATCTCACGCACTCTACTGGGCAGGATCCTTGACTTTAGGGCTCACCCTCACCCACAGTCGGGCAAGGATGGCTCAGTCTTCCGTCTGAAGATGTCCTCAAATTCTAACAACGACAAACTAGCCGTTGGAAACACAATAGAAAGGACACTGTGTGTGTGCCTCTGGACTGCAGGTGGCATTTCCAGACCAGTGACCGCAGGCTGGTCATCTCACTCTCCATTCCCTCAGTTGACAGAATCTCATCAAAGACTCAAACCCGATGTCAACTCCGGGCACATGCATTCTTTGGAACCACAGCCCGCAGCTCTTCCATTGTGGGGTTCACACTGGACACGGGGACAGGTGCTTTATAGTTCGCTGCTTGGATGTTCAGGGTGGATGGACTGGCGCCATGAGGTGTTCTCCTTCGGGAATGGAGCATCCCTTAATGGGAACTTAATAAAATGCAAAGGAATGTCTTTGCTCTGGTTTGGGAGACGTGAGAATGCCCGGGGTGAGTTCTCCATGTTTCCGTGGCCAACGTGGTAAACCCTACAGAGACCTCCTTCTCAACAAAGACGCTGAAGATGTTTCTGAAGGTCCACTAAGGCTCATGGGTTTTGGTTGCCCACTGGGGGAGCCTCTGAAAAGGATTGCTGGTCATCTCCAATTTCAACAGAATTCCAGAAGCAATTCCTCTGGATAAATCAGCATTTCTGTAGAGCTTCTGAAGGCATCTTCTTGATCTGCCAAGTTCAAGGACCGCCCCCCCTCCCCTGAGCCAGGCATATTTGAATTACAGCTTCCAGCCCTGGGTATCAGCACGCCCTCAGACTGCTCAGATATCCTACTAAAGCCCTAGACTCTGGACTAATGTCTTTTAGAACTAGAATCCCTTCCTTGATTAAACCAAGAGCGAGCTGTGCCTCATCTAGTATTCTGAACAGCCGGGAATTTGCACCACAAAACAGAATCTTGAGTTCTGGAAGGTGCCAACGTTGGAGCATTTATATGTCATCAGAGAACCTATTACAGCTTGAGGCCATTGTACACAAATGCCAGCGACCGTGTCCATGATCACAAAGGTACTTTCTGAGTCGAGGCTCAGGATGGCTCCTGGCCAAGCCGACATCTTCTGCCACTGAGATAACACACACGCCGGGATTTGACAGATGCCACAGTCCCCAAGCTGAGAAGACGCGCTTCACAAACAATTTGAACGTTGTAGGACCCTGGCCTCAGATTCCTCCTCCTTGTTACGTGACAGCCCTTATGTTTCTTTTCCTCCCTGGGAGAGAGAGGGAAGAAAACAACAACATAGTTCTGGAGAAGGTAGCTTGTTCCCTCGACACCGGATCATAAAATTCCTCGGAGACATTTCCCAGAAGCTGGAGAAATCGTGCGGATCTCTGGGTGAGTAAAGCAGAATCCATGGCTTGGCAGGCACTGGAGGTCCTGGGTTTGAGCCTGTGGCTCACGTTAGGGGAGTGGACAGGGTCTCCGTGCACCCTCCAGGGTGACGACTTTCCATCCGCGGGCAAGACTCGATTCGGTAGTTGGGCTCATGATGTGTGTTTGTCTTCTCGTTAAAGAGGTTCTTTTCTTCCCTCGGTGTAGCAACAATGAGCTCTGTTTGGGTTCAGCAGCAGGAGGGACCACATCGTTCATTCATCTGTTCAGTCACTTAGTCAGTCAGTCAGTCAGTCAGTCAGTCATTGCTACAAGCCAGGTTCTGAGGAAACACAAGCTCACTCAAGTGACCAAAGGCTGGTCTGTGTAGTACACAAGCTCTGTCTAGATGCCAACTGGATATTGAGGATGTCTGTACCATGAACAGGTGGCATGGGCACCTCTCGTCTTGGCTATTAGGAAACACAACCAGAGAAGGTGCACTGGGCTCCCTCCAAGGAAGGAGGCGGGATTGGGGGGAAGCTTCTTGGATTGGCCTATGGGTCAGGGAGGGCATTCCATGCTCATTTGCATTGGATCGGAGCTTTGGGAAGCATGAAGTCTTGCATTGGGTGCCATCATTAAGCCTTTGGGTCTCTGTGATGCATTGTCTACTGAATGATGATGCTGACACCCACCCTGTCTGCACCCAGCTTTGCTGAGAGAACAAGACCCATGTATGCAGTCTGCTTAAGACAAGTTCAGGAATAAATGTATGCTACCCATGTCTTTGCATCCAAAGTCTGGATTTGATTTGCCATTCAAGTGGAGAAATCACACTTGACCCTTGAACCACAAGGGGTTAGGGCTGCCCAGCCTCTATGCACTGAAAAATCCACATGTAACTGTTAACCCCCCAACAACTTAACTGCTAAGAGCCTACTGTGGACCGGAAGTCTGACCGATAACATAGTCAACTAACACACATTTTGAATGCTCTGTGTATTATATACCGTGTTCTTACAATGACATCAGCTACAGAAAATAAGGTGCGATTAAGAAAATCATAGGAAGTTGGGGCGCCTGGGTGGCTCAGTCGGTTAAGCGTTCGACTTCGG